TTAGCGGATGGTAGTGGCTCTGGTAATGCCTTTTTCCTCATCTGAGCATTATTTAAGTTTTCTCTGGGTTGAGCAGTGTGAGGTGTGTGTTGGAGAGAGGAACTGCATGCAGTCTGGCTGTAACAGCCTGCAGGTCTACATAATACCACACTGAGTCTCATTACTAATCAGAGGGCTAACTGTTTTGTTGCTTACTGGACAGTGCTGAAATCATCCTCTGCAAGGGAAAGATTTTTGTCCTGTGTTTGATCTACACTGTGATGACTAAACAAGGACAGAACCAGTTCTTAAACCACTTCAGCATCTGTACTGCCTCTTAACAAACTCTATATTTGACTATACGTAACCTCTACATTACAATATAAGCAGATATAGGGGAAGATTTACTCAAGCTGATGCATTCTGAATCTGGTGCAGCTGTGCATGGTAGCCAATTGGCTTCTAACTGAAGCTTGTTCAATTAAGCGTTGGCAATAAAACCTAGAAGCTGATTGGTTTCTTTGCAGAGCTGCACCAGATTTTGCATTCTCCAGTTTTAGTAAATAACCCCTATTGCATGCATTGCACTGAAGATGCTGCAGTACTAACTCACTTTCAGACATTTTTAAAAAATGTTTCCAACATGTCTGCTACCTGTGTCGGCACTGATGATACTATAATGACAATATGATGGCAACTGCTCATGGCAACTACTACTTCTTTTGTCATATAATGACAGTATGACCCTGGAAAAACCTTATAATTATGCAACCTTGCCTGCTGCATTGCTTTTCTGAACACTCTATATATGTTATTATTGGTCACCCTGTTCCATGGATTAAAATTCAGTGTACTAAGGCATAAGACAAGTAGGGAACAAAACCTCAGCTATCCTCTACTTTAGCTACCTAATGTTGGCCATTCACACACCATTTGTGTGGCAAATTTGGAAAGTTACTATCCGCTTTTTTTTTTACATACAACCTCATAGAACAGAATTGTTCAGAGTAATCAGTCTTCATTGTGTTTCACTTTTGAGTAACCATACTATGGAATTTGAAGTAAAATTTGAATGAAAATACCTTTTTTGCTTTGATTGTGGAGCTTTGATTCATTGTTTCTGATTGTGATTAATGTGATAATATGGTTTCTAAATACTGGAAACCGTGAAAATATGTATTAATTGTTGCTGTGGACTTGCATCATATTTGTTAGTCTCTTTGTGTACATATTGATGTTCAATCGGACTGACTTTGTTGAGATCCATCAACAGCAATATTGTGTAGGAGCCTACTTGATTGCATACTTACACCCTGTTCCAAATTATTATGCAAATTCTATTTAAATGTCACAAAGATTAAATATTTTGTTTTTCATTTTAACTCATGGATGGCATTGTGTGTCAGGGCTCTTTTGATCACTGAAAACAATCTCGGACACCTGTGATAATTAGATTGGCCGGTGAGCCCAATTTAAGGAAAAACTACTAAAGGAGGGTATTCCACATTATTAAGCAGAGCACCATTTTCAAGCAATATGGGGAAGAAAAAGGATCTCTCTGCTGCCGAAAAGAGTGAAATAGTTCAATGCCTTGGACGAGGTATGAAAACATTAGATATTTCACGAAAACTTAAGCGTGATCATCGCACTATTAAGAGATTTGTGGCTGATTCAGAGCACAGACGGGTTCGTGCAAATAAAGGCACATTGAGGAAGATTTATGCCAGATCCATGCATCAGATCAAGAGAGCAGCTGCTAAAATACCATTACATAGCAGCAAACAGATATTTGAAGCTGCTGGTGCCTCTGGAGTCCCACGGACATCAAGGTGTAGAGTCCTCCAGAGTCTTGCAACTGTGCATAAACCTTCTATTTGGCCACCAATAACCAATGCTCACAAGCAGAAATGGCTGTATCGGGCAGAAGAATACATGAAGACTAATTTTCAAACAGTCCTGTTCACTGATGAGTGCTGTGCAACCATGGATGGTCCAGATGGATAGAGTAGTGGATGGTTGGTGGATGGCCACCCTGTTCCAACAAGGCTTGCGACGTCAGCAAAGCAGTGGTGGAGTCATGTTTTGGGCCGGAATCATGGGAACAGAGCTGGTCAGCCCTTTTAGGGTGCCCGAAGGTGTAAAGATGACCTCTGCAAAGTATGTGGAGTTTATGACTGACCACTTTCTTCCCTGGTACAGAAGGAAGAACTATGCTTTCCGTAATAAAATCATCTTCATGCATGACAATTAGAGATGAGCGAATTATTCAAAAATTCGATTCGGCTGATTCGCCGAATTTGCGGGAGAAATTTGATTCGATGCGAATTTATTTGCTGCGAATTTAACTTATTAAAAGGGTTTCTAGGCTTCAGAGAGCCTTTATATTAGTGCAGAACACTGTACCTTTAATTTAAATGCCCTTGGAGTCTGCAGGGGAAGAGAAATAATACTGTCAGTCAGTATGACATGCAGATGAGTGCCGTCGATCTTAGAATCACCGCACACTTCACTCATTTGGGCAGTCACGGGGGCACGACGAAGAAGAAGAAGAAGAAGAAGAATGAAAAGAAGAAGAAGAAGAAGAATGAAAAGAAGAAGAATGAAAAGAAGAATGAAAAGAAGAAGAAGAATGAAAAGAAGAAGAAGAATGAAAAGAAGAATGAGAAGAAGAATGAAAAGAAGAATGAAAAGAAGAATGAAAAGAAGAAGAAGAATGAAAAGAAGAATGAGAAGAAGAATGAAAAGAAAAATGAAAATAAGAATGAGAAGAATGAAAATAATAAGAAGAAGAATGAAAAGAAGAAGAAGTAGAAGAAGAATGAAAAGAAGAATGAAAAGAAGAAGAAGAAGAATGAAAAGAAGAAGAAGAAGAATGAAAAGAAGAATGAAAAGAAGAAGAAGAAGAATGAAAAGAAGAAGAAGAAGAATGAAAAGAAGAATGAAAAGAAGAATGAGAAGAATGAAAAGAAGAATGAAAAGAAGAAGAAGAAGAATGAAAAGAAGAAGAAGAAGAAGAATGAAAAGAAGAATGAAAAGAAGAAGAAGAAGAATGAAAAGAAGAAGCAGAAGAATGAAAAGAAGAATGAAAAGAAGAATGAAAAGAAGAAGAAGAAGAATGAAAAGAAGAAGAATGGAAAGAAGAAGAAGAAGAATGAAAAGAAGAAGAATGAAAAGAAGAATGAGAAGAAGAATGAAAAGAAGAATGAGAAGAATGAAAAGAAGAATGAAAAGAAGAAGAAGAAGAATGAAAAGAAGAAGAAGAAGAATGAAAAGAAGAATGAAAAGAAGAAGAAGAAGAATGAAAAGAAGAATGAAAAGAAGAAGAAGAATGAAAAGAAGAAGAAGAAGAATGAAAAGAAGAATGAAAAGAAGAAGAAGAATGAAAAGAAGAAGAAGAAGAATGAAAAGAAGAATGAGAAGAAGAATGAGAAGATGAATGAAAAGAAGAATGAAAAGAAGAAGAAGAATGAAAAGAAGAATGAAAAGAAGAATGAAAAGAAGAAGAAGAATGAAAAGAAGAAGAAGAAGAATGAAAAAGAAGAAGAAGAAGAAGAATGAAAAGAAGAAGAAGAATGAAAAAAGAAGAAGAAGAAGAATGAAAAGAAGAAGAAGAATGAAAAGAAGAAGAAGAAGAATGAAAAGAAGAAGAAGAATGAAAACAAGAAGAATTCCAGTACAGCAAAAAGTGTATCTGCAGAGAGCTCCGCTATTTCTGACAGTTCTCTGACAGTTCCTTCACATTTACAGTGGTTGAAACATTGTATCTATTAATTTCCGAATAAAAACATCTGTATCCTAAATGGAAACAAATAGATACAATGTTTCAAACGCTGTAAATGAACTGTCAGAACTGTCAGAGAACTGTCAGAAATAGCGGAGCTCTCTGCAGTGACACTTTTTGCCGGCTGATCGGGGGAAAATTCGATTCGTGCATCCGAAGTTTGCTAAAATTCGGATTCGGTGCGAATCGAATTTTTCCTAATATTCGAAACGAATTCCACTGCGCCAAGTTCGATTCGCTCATCTCTAATGACAATGCACCATCTCATGCTGCAAAGAATACCTCTGCATCAATGGCTGTTATGGGGATAAAAGGAGAGAAAGTCATGGTGTGGCCTCCATCCTCCCCTGACCTCAATCCTATTGAGAACCTTTGGAGCATCCTCAAGCAAAAGATCTATGAGGGTGGGAGGCAGTTTACATCCAAACAGCAGCTCTGGGAGGCTATTCACAAGTTCAATGGATGCAAGACTTGTGAAGCTGCTATCAAATAAGGGGTCCTATGTTACAATGTAACGTGACCTGTTAAAATGTTTAAAAAGTTAAAATGTTGTTCAAAGTTTGATTGAAATAGCTTTTGATTTCAGTAAATATGCTGCAAACACAACAAATGACAATTTTCAGTTCTTTACAACCTATAAAGTGTTTTGAAACTTACTGTGCGTAATAATTTGGAACAGTGCATTGTAAGTTTTTTATGTTTAACAAAAATACTGTTATCATTAGGAGGTTTGTTCAATAAAATTTGAATTGTACTCTTAATAGTTGATAACAGGAGAATTATGCTGACTGTTATTTAGATCAATTATTTAGGTAAATGAGAAAAATATCATTTGCATAATAATTTGGAACACGGTGTATATAATTGAGTCTTTAGACAGGCCCTCACATTACATAATGGGTAGTAAATCTAATGGGAATTGTGTTAAATCACATTGTTACATGTATGACCAGCTTTATGCTTGTCATGTAAAAGGCAATTTCCAGGCAATTTCCACCACGGATCAAGGCAGCCTACCAGCAAATGTGTCTATCTTAACTGAAACTATTAAAATTGCTTGTGGTGGGTTGCTTAAATCAGTTTAATGATTTTTTAGATCACAAGCTGATTCTTACTCTGACCCTCATTAAAGTGTTACTAAACCCGCAACAGTAAAATCAGTCTGTATATGCAGTAAAGCATGCTTGTTATACTCACTGTGGAACCTAAGGGGTTAATCCTCTGCATTGTGTAAAAAGGCTGCTTGATCCTGACTTCTCTGATCCTCCCCTTCTTCCAGTGCCCCCTATTATCTCCTGATAGGACATATCATGTAGAGTCACTCTGCAAATGCTCAGGTTTGTGTGTCTTGCTAGAGAGGTTTTTTTTCTTGGGAGAGTGCATGTGATCAGCACAGGGCCTATCAGCACTGTCCAGCCAGAGTTTATGGGTTCTTCAGCCTCCTAGAGCAAAGTGGAAACTCCTCCTACAAGCTTTAACATGTGCTCTGCTGGACACTGATAGAAGTCAGAAGACTGCTCTAACTGCTGATGAGAAAAGGTATTTAGCAGTTTATATTTACTAAAATAATTGCACTTGTTGCATCATGTTCTGTATAATGTAGGAGACCAGATATAGTGAATGAATCCTGGGTTTAGTAACACTTTAAATTTTAGATTATCTGATTGACCATGACTAACTATTGCTTGACTGTGGGTGACTTTGACAAGGATATCTACCCTGAGTCACTGGGTGAGAAGAATTAAGGCATTGATTGAAAAGTAGGACATATTGACATCTAGTTCTTTTTAAGGAGAGGGCACATAAATCAAAATGAGGAACCTCAAGTTCACTGGCATCTGAAAACAGCTCAATGTTTTTGAACTTCAAAAAGTTTGCATGCATCTGCATTGAGCAAAGTGGTGCAGTCTACTGCTTTGGTCTGTGCTAGACCGTAAAATCACTGTATTACCCTATGTGGAAGACTGGAACTGAACAGCTATTTACACAATCATGGTTTCATGTTATGTATGTGACTTGTAAGTATTAGTAATAAAGTATTCTAGTATTGGTTTCAACTCCAAATGTTTGGATTTATAATATAGTTTCCCTTTAGTGTTTTTGTCTATGACATATTAGTGACACATTCTGTCTCCTACATCTTTCTTCCCTAACCAGGAAGAAGACAGAAACAAGATTAATTACCATGTTGTGAAAATCTGACAGGCGATAAAGCACAGCCAGTTGGATAGATTATCTATTTAGACTATGACTATAAAATACAGCGCATGCAATTCTACTTTAAATTGCCTGTGTGTTTCATAGTTTACAGGGATCTCCAAACTTTTCAGCATAAGGGCCATATCATATATTTTACAAATATTTTTGTGCTGAAAAAAAATGTTTTTCTAAATAAACAATTCAAATTTAAAAAAAAGTACATTTTACTTGGAGTTTTTTTCATTAATCAGCATGATATGATTTAGAACAAGGAAAAAAAACTTCAAAACAAAGCAAAGAAATCCCAAACAAAATTGAACCCATCAATGTCCCCTCCTCAAATCATGGTCCCAATCAAAGTCCTCCTTTACATCAGAGTCCCCTCTTACATCCGGGTGTCCCATCAGAGTCTCCCCCTTACATCAGGATCCTAATCAGAGTCTCCTCTTACACCAGGGACCCAATTAGAACCCCCTTACATCAGAGCACCCTTACATCAGGCTCCCCATTAAAGTCCACTCTTACATTAGAGTACCCATTAAAATCTTCATTACACTGAAGCTCCCATACATCAGAGTCCCCTATATATCAGGGTCCCCATCAAAGTGCCTCTTACATCAGTCCACATCAGAGCGCTCTTACATCTTTACATAAAAGTTACCATTAGCATCCCCATTTACATCAGAGTCCCCTCTTACATCAGTGAGCTGGATTTGGCTCACAGGCTGTAGTTTTGGTCCCTGCTATATTTGATTAAAATAATACTTTATTATAAAACAAAACAGTTAAGATTCATCAATGTATAAACAAATCTTTCACCTCCTGTTGTTGTAACGTTGCGTACACCTGATCAATATTGTGTCTAAGTAACTAAAATGTACCAAGGCAGATAGCAGAGTGTAGCTTTTGTACCAAATTGGAGGACTGTTTGGTGCTGCATCTGGTTATTGCACTTCTCCATTTTTTTAGAATATGATGATGTGTGTTTCTTGCTTTCTTCAGCACAGTTCTGTGTGTCTGCTTTGCTTGTTAATTCGCAGTTTATTTAAGTGAAACAGTAAAGTTGCATTTACAATTATAAATCTTATTGTGTATCTATGTCAGTCACATATATTATATCAAACTTGTACAACATTTAAAGGTCTGTGCATTAATTAAGTTTTTACTAATGTATTTAAGAGGCAATTATTAATTGGCTACAAAAAATTACCAGCATGTACCAAACAATTTAAATTCTTTGAGGAATCTTTGGCTTGCAAATGGTTGTTGTTTCTTGTATATAAAGCTTTACAGTGGCCCCCTCCTACTGAGTCTGGAATAGATGATAGCTAGGTGGAATCTGGCTGTTAGAGATGAGCGAATTATTCAAAAATTCGATTCGGCTGATTCGCCGAATTTGAGGAAGAAATTCGATTCGATGCGAATTAATTCGCTACGAATTTAACTTATTAAAAGGGTTTCTAGGCTTCAGAGAGCCTTTAAATTAGTGCAGAACACTGTACCTTTAATTTAAATGCCCTTGGAGATGAGGAAGGACAAGGAGAAGGAGAAGGATGAGAAGAAGGAGAAGGAGAAGGATGAGAAGAAGGAGAAGGAGAAGGATGAGAAGAAGGAGAAGGAGAAGGATGAGAAGAAGGAGAAGGAGAAGGATGAGAAGAAGGAGAAGGATGAGAAGATGGAGAAGGAGAAGGATGAGAAGAAGGAGAAGGATGAGAAGAAGGAGAAGGATGAGAAGAAGGAGAAGGATGAGAAGAAGGAGAAGGAGAAGGATGAGAAGAAGGAGAAGGATGAGAAGAAGAAGGAGAAGGATGAGAAGAAGGATGAGAAGAAGGATGAGAAGAAGGAGAAGGATGAGAAGAAGGATGAGAAGAAGGATGAGAAGAAGGAGAAGGATGAGAAGAAGGATGAGAAGAAGGAGAAGGATGAGAAGAAGAAGAAGGATGAGAAGAAGGAGAAGGATGAGAAGAAGGAGAAGGATGAGAAGAAGGATGAGAAGAAGGAGAAGGATGAGAAGAAGGAGAAGGAGAAGGATGAGAAGAAGGAGAAGGATGAGAAGATGGAGAAGGATGAGAAGAAGGAGAAGGAGAAGGATGAGAAGAAGGAGAAGGATGAGAAGAAGGAGAAGGAGAAGGATGAGAAGAAGGAGAAGGAGAAGGATGAGAAGAAGGAGAAGGATGAGAAGAAGGAGAAGGATGAGAAGAAGGAGAAGGATGAGAGAAGAAGGAGAAGGAGAAGGATGAGAAGAAGGAGAAGGATGAGAAGAAGGAGAAGGATGAGAAGAAGGATGAGAAGAAGGAGAAGGAGAAGGATGAGAAGAAGGAGAAGGATGAGAAGAAGGAGAAGGAAACAAATAGATACAATGTTTCAACCGCTGTATGGAGGGAATGTCACAGAACTGTCAGAAATAGCGGAGCTCTGCAGATACACTTAGCGGAGCTCTGCAGATAGATACAGCGGTTGAAACATAGGCTATGTTTCAACCGCTGTATGGAGTGAATGTCAGAGAACTGTCAGAAATAGGCTATTTCTGACAGTTCTCTGACATTCACTCCAT